TGTGTTTGAAACACCATTTTCACATATTTTATATGACTGTATCTGATTTTTCTGTTGTTGTATACACTTAGCTATATTGTTAGACTTCAGAGTTTAAAATAAATAGTTACTTTGATGTCTTGTGTTCTTTATGCAGCTTTGATTTTAAATACACTGCTTTTTTTAGGTGTATTTGCTCAGAGTATCTGTATTGGCATCAATACCGCCGATACTGGCCATCATTTTAACCGGTATTGTATCGATACCAGAAAACCTGGTATCGAGCAACGCTACTGAGAAGTGGAGGACATTCATAAACAATCCTTATAAGTGGACAACCAGGAAGTTCATTCTAAAGGTCATAGGAAGTCCTTTGAACACATCGGAGACCTTTACTCATCTGCACTGCAGCACATCTGGAGAAAACTAAACGCAGCATATCCGTGAGGTAGCTGTGGCTGAGCAGTTAGAGCGGTCGTCCTCTAATGGGAGAGTTGGGGGTTCGATTCCACCAGCAGTCACATGCTGAAGTGTCCCTGGGCAAGACACTAAGCATTGCCTTTGATGTGTGTCCCATTGTTGTATGAATGTGATAAAGCTCTGATTAGTCTTAGTATAGAGCTAGTAGAGTGCTGTATGATTGTTTGTGTGGAGGTAAACAAGAGCACAGATTGTGTTGTAAAGAGATTTGAGTACCTGATAAGATAGAAAGGTGCTCTACAAGTACAGTCCATTGACCATATAACAGCAGCTGTAAGCACAGTGGTGGAGGCTGATGGTTTGGGCTCCTTGTAGTCACTTAGAGGTCCATGAAGTCTTCTTTAGACCAAAGGATTTTAGAGCCAAATGTGAGACCGTCTGTCTGAAAGCTGAAGCTCGGACCAAACTGGATCATTATGCAACAGGATAATGATCCCAACGACAGCAGCTAATTTACAACAGAGCAGCAGCTGTTTACAACAGTGCAGCAGCTGCTTTACAACAGAGCAACAGCTAATTCATAACAGAGAAGCAGCTGATTTACAACAAAGCAGCAGCTACTTTACAACAGAGCAGCAGCTAATTCACAAAAGAGCAGCAGCTAGTTTACAACAGAGTAGCAGCTAATGTACAACAGAGCAGCAGCTACTTTACAACAGAGCAGTAGCTACTTTACAACAGAGCAGCAGTTAATTTACAACAGAGCAACAGCTACTTTACAACAGAGCAGTAGCTACTTTACAACAGAGCAGCAGTTAATTTACAACAGAGCAACAGCTACTTTACAACAGAGCAGTAGCTACTTTACAACAGAGCAGCAGTTAATTCATAACAGAGCAGCAGTTAATTTACAATAGAGTAGCAGCTAATTTACAACAGAGCAGCAGCTACTTCACAAAAGAGCAGCAGCTAATTTACAACAGAGTATAACGATCCAGTCATGCAGAACGTCTTGCTGTGTTGGGCCCTTCAGAGAGAGTGCACACATGAACATGCCATTTCATGAACTAAATGCAAGGAGTGAACACAAATCGTCTTAAGCCACATGAGACAGAAATGATTATACGGAGCACCGATGATGGTCGCTTCAATTGTTTTGACAAAAACCCAACAAGATTGTACAGATTGTTAAATAATGAGGTGGACTTTGTCTTGATGAATATATGTTTGGTTAAATCCGCCCCATGACTTATTTATTGTCAGTCGTACCAACAGTTTGATCACCTGATGATCTAATCGTTGCTTTTTCCACTTCTTGTCAGAGCTGAAGTCCAAACATCTGTTCACAATGACCGTAAAGGGACATTCTGCAACATTGTTTATGTTGGTCACAGTTTACTTTAAACTAGTTTTGTTCTTTCTGCTGTCTCTCCTCAGCTCTGTTCTTCCAGAGTTCCCTGCTGGCCCGACCAGTTGTTGTCCTGCACAAAGAGCATGAACAGCGCCACCTGCTGACATCAAGAGTCCATTCATCTCAGACTCTTCATGGTTAGTCTTGAAGAAGAGAAGCGTTCAGTTCTGTTTGATTACTTCACATCTGCCAGAGGTGCAGCTGTTTCCTGCACACCACCAGACATTCAGTGCTGCTTCATCCAATCCTCACCACGGCAGAGTTTCTACTGTAACTCTTGCGCTGTGCAGGAAACCGTGTTCTGATCCACTGAGCAGGGCGGCTTGTCTCCAGCAGAGTCATGTTGGTGTCCATGTGGGGACAGGTGTGGTTCAGCTGCATATGCTTAGTTTGCAGGAAGCTCTTTTTTATTTCTGTATGAAAGTAGGTGGTAGATACTTTTAGTGGTGGTTCAGATGATGTCAGGTCAGGGGCCACGTCCTTCAAGGGTAACAACAGGAGAACCGGGCTTCTTGTTCTTAGAAGATGAACAGGGTAGACGGGTTCTTTTGTGCTGGTCAAAAAACAACATTTGGTAAAAAATGGGAATAGTTGCCTTTTCTTTTTTTGGTTGGCATTTTGTGAACTTTGTGGCATAATACTGGTTTGTTTTACAAAGTACAAAACAATCCAGATGAAAGCCATTAGCTGATTCAAAATGTGAGTTAGTACACATATAGTGCATGAGAAAATTATTTTCAAATAATTCAAAACCCATTTTCTGTTGGTAAATATGAGAAAGATTTGATTGCAATGACAGCATTTCTTAAAATCTTTTTTAGTTTTACCGTATTTTCCGCCGTACATGTCGCACCGCCCTATAAGTCGTGTCAGTCCAAATATGTCTAATAAAGTGGAAAAATACATACATAAGTCGCTTTGCCGTATAAGTCACATCTATTATGCATCACCGCTGACAACCTGGACATGTGGGCCGGTGTTGTGCCAAAAATTGATTGGCTGCCAAATGGCAGCTGCGAGAGCATGCACGGGAGGACTTTAATAAGAATTTAACAAGATTAACACTTAAAAACAATTATTTGTTTGTTCAACATTATAGTAAAGGTGTGTCTCAGTTGAACATTTACTTAATAAAAGTACTTTAATGGTCAAATCAGCTGCATCTCACCGGGGCGGCACCGTGAAATGAAGCTGATTTGACGGTTTCTCCAAGCGAGCTGGATGAAGGTGACTTATTTTGTCAAGCCGATTGTGTCATTAATAGCCACTTTTACCCATTACTTGACACAATGGCATGTCATACTCTAGTGCCATCTAGAGGCTGAAAATGGTAGTGTTCAATATTTTTTGTTTATTTATTTATTCATTTATTTATTCATTTAAAAGAAACAAAAATTCACCAAAAAGAAAATAACATTGAATGAAAAGGGTGCAGAAAGAAGAAGAAAATTCATATATCTGCCCCTTATTTAAAAAATACAAAATAACTACAAACGACAACTCAGGCTTGAACAATTCCCAAATTGAAAACAAAAAACATCAGGCATCCTTCACCTGGCACTATACATTCCCAACAAGTTTAACCTAATCATCTTTTTAAACATATAAATTGTTTTAGAAAATTTTATGGTAATTTCAAAGCAATTCCACTATCCTGTTCCCTGAATTACAACGCAGCACTCCTTCAGACTAGTACTAAATGGAGGTTATACAAACATTTCCATTCCCTTAAGGTTATAATGACTCTCTTTTTAAACAAATTTTAATTGAATATTTGGGGGTAATATTTTTTATGAGCTTTATAAATGATTTGTAAAATACTATTTTCAACCAAATCATAAACTTTTAATAATTTCAATTGATTAAATAATATATTTGTTGGGTGACCATAGCACTTCCTACTAATAATTCTTATAGCTACAAAGTCCATGCTCAATAATCCAGGTATACAATCCAACATTTTTCAGTCAAGTCATCTGGACAGTTTCTTGTTTTGTGCTGAAACGTTTCGCCTCGCCAAGCCCACCTTCTCTAGCCTGTGTGCCACCACTCCCCCTCAAACGCTGGAGAGACTTTGTCTCTCTGTTGGCCTGGGAACACCTTGGAATCTTCCCAGAAGAGCTGGAAGAGGTGGCTGTGGAAAGAGATGTCTGAACCTTCCTGCTCAAGCTGCTGCCCCGAGACCTGACTTTGGAACAAGAGGAAGATGATGCATGGATGGATGGATGGATGGATGGAGTTAATCAAGAAGTTCCTTCAGATGACCGTCACTGGCTTTTTAAGCGAGTCGAGCTGGCACCATTACAAAGATACAAGCTGAAAATAAACACCATTTCAGAAGGAAGAAGTGGGTAAAGATGATAGATGGATGGATGAACAAGATAAACATGTAGCTTTAAGCTGCACAGAGCTGCCTGCAGCTGCCGAAAGGCAGTTTGAAGCCTGGCTTCAAGCAGAGCAGGCTGGATGAAGCATGATCTGGATCAACGTGCAGCTGAAGACATTCACCACAGTGGTAACAATAAATGATGTATCACTGAGATAGAACTGTTGGAATAATGTAGGGGACACACTTGAGTCAAATGTTAAAGAACAATATCAGTGTGTCTATAAGTGCTCACTGATCACGCACAATAAATCTGGTACATATTGGATGATATTTCACTGAGATATAACTGTTGGAATAATGTAGGGGGTGCACTAGAGTCAAAAGTAAAAAAAAAAACAATACCAATGTGTCTAGAAGTGTTCACTACTTACGCACCCAAAATCTGGTTCAGATCAGATGATATATCACTAAGATATAACTTTTGAAATAATCTAGGGGGTGCACTCGAGTCAAATGTTAAATAACAACACAAATGTATATAGAAGTGCTCACTGATCACGCAGAAAAATCTGGTGCAGATCGGGTAATATATCATCGAGATATAACAGTTTGAATAATGTAGGGGGCGCACTTGAGTCAAATGTTAAACAACAATACCAATGTGTCTAGAAATGCTCACAGATGACGCACCAAAAATCTGTTGCGGATAGGATGATGTATCACTGAGATGTAACTGTTGGAATAATCTAAGGGGCACACTAGAGTCATATGTTAAACCACAATATCAATGTGTCTAAAAGTCCTCACTGATGACACACAATGAATCTGGTTCAGATGGGATGTTGTATCACTGTAGGAATAATGTAGGTGGCGCTGTGGAGGCTATTGGCTACTTATCATGGATACCTGTTCAAGGGGCGGATAATGATCGATCATAGTGATTTTGGTGCACCTCGTCTGAAATCTGTGCAATTTAGAGCCAAACGTATTGCAATGGCGTCACTTCTTAATTCGCCAAGCCGCTACGCCCACATCCTCCAGCAAAAACGGTTTGTGCTTTAAATCAAGTCAGACCATATTATCAGTCTTCTAACACGGGATCATCCTGATTAGATCAATGGTGTCAAAGAGGGAGCATTCCAAGTTAAAAAAGACTTCCTGTTTCGAAGTGGCGGGGCTTTGATGACATCAAAATATGACAACAGTGGATCGTTGGTCATCCAACAGGGATGAGTCATGCCAGGTTTTGTGCATTTCGGTCTTTCATTGTAAAAGTTATAGTGTTTGGAAATTTATGGCGTGAAGCGAAACTTTAAGTCCTGGCCACACCCCTTTAACATATACGAAAACGCAAGCTTTAGATAACTTTTATTCTCCAATGTGTTAAGGGCATATCAACCAAGTTTGAAGGCAATCCTTCAAAATTCCTAGGAAGAGTTCGTTAAAATTCGCAAGTAGAAACACCCCAAAATGACCCTTTGACCCAAAATGTCCGACTTCCTGTTGTTTTTGGACCAGGGCTCCAAGAGACTTTTTCATAGGTCCTGAGAAGATACAGGTGTTCACCAAGTTTCAGAAATATTGGTCAAAAAATGGCTTGGGGCTGAGGTTTTAAAATATTCTAGGGGGCGCTCTGGAGGCTATTGGCCACTTATCATAGCTTCCTGTTCAAGGGGTGGATAATAATCGATCATACTGATTTTGGTGCACCTCGGTTCAAAACTGTGGGATTTAGAGCCAAACGTATGGCGACGGCATTACGTTTTACTTCGCCACTCCACGCCGCCCACATGCTCCACCCAAAACTGTCAGTGGGTCCATTGACCGAAGACATGTTGGTGTAACTTGCTTTCCAACACTATCATGCTGATCAGGTAACGGGTCAGATAGGGATCGTTCAACGTAAAACTTTATACTTCCTGTTGTCAGGGGGCGTGGCTTAAGTGATGTCATGATTTGACCATTCAGTGTGCAGGGGACCGGATGTAGATCAATCACTGAAGGTTTGATGTCTCAGACAGTTTTCTTGTAGGAGCTATTAGCGTTTCTTTTTTCATGGCGAGATGTCAAATTTTGAGGTCTGGCCCCACCCCTTCATCATGCTCCGAAACGAACCATTTAGATAACTTTGCGTCCCCCATGCCTTTTGACCCAAATGGCCAAGTTTGAAACCGATTAAGCGAAATCCCTAGGAGGAGGAGTTCAAATGTGGAGGCTGTAAACCGCTAAAAAGGTGTGAAAATTGGGCCAGCATTCCAAAATGGCCACCTTTTTTGTTCATCGTACAACATTGGTGCCAGAGGGTTTTCTGTGTATCTTGGGGAATTGGACAAGCATACCAAATTTCACGTTTCTACGACCAACTAAGGTTAATGTGGAGGGTATTTTGAAAATTTCTAGGTGGCTCTCTTGATCCATTTCTGTTGCGATTTTTGCCAGCCCTTAAAATACATAATTTTTCCCCAGTCCTGATGCGTCCGCCAAATTTGGTGACTTTTGAGATATGTTAAGGCCCCCAAAATGACAATTTATTTGGCTGAAAAAATTGTAGCTTGGGCCTGAACAGAGCGATTACAATAGGCCTTTGCAGCGGCGCCGCGGCTTGGCGCGGCTTGGCTGCCAAGCTGCTCGGGCCTGATTAAATTAAAACTAGGCTTACCATTGATCCTTTGGGGACTAATAGGAAGATACAAAAGGAGAACTGGTGTTGACGTTAGTCACAGAACCAGTTTGGTGTCTGAGAGAAGTCCAGCTGTGGGTTGAACCACTGGGGTATACTGAATCAGCTCTGCTTCTGCTGGTTTCCAGTGACGGAGCAGACTGTGTCTTCTCTTTGTTGGTCATTTTGTGCACGAATGACTCATCTTTAAAGTTTATAAAAGAGAACAGATTTTTTCTGATAATGGACCAGCCATGCTGTGTTTGACCACTTTTATGTTGTTCAGCAGGTTCTGATTCTAAAGCTGCCTCACTGCACTGGACAGCAGAACGAGTGCTGAGTGTCGCGCTCCTTGCCATGGGCCCTGTAGCGTATTTTCACCCCTGTCCTGTCATGGATTACTCCCTGGCTGCTGCTCTGACTCTGCATGGACACTGGTAAGACCAGCAGGCACTTCATTGTACAGTTTAACCAGGCCTGGACGTGCAGGAGATACTTGAACCTCTCTTTGTGTTACACCATCACAAGAATGTAAACATGTTTTTTGGGTCAGTTTTAAATAGAAATGCAAATATTTTATGCTAATATCACTTATTGCATAATAACCATTATTTGATGCGTATAATAATGTAATAACACCTAATTTGTTTTTAATGCACTGATAGAAATTAACACAAGTGAAGATGTTGTCCATTATATTTTAGACACAAGATTAACTTTTGCACTTAGCACCAGAGACTCAGTGAAAGTTTTTTTAAACACATTGTTGAAGGCATAGACGTAATTCACCCTGAGCAGCTTGTTTAATGTTATGAACTTTAGAAACCAAATAAATAAGACTTTTGTTTTTCTAATCCACTCGACAACATACATAGCTCCAAAGGAAACTCCAGTGCCAGATCAGCTGAATCTAAAGTTGTCAGGATTTTGTGGACAGGAACGAACCCAGTAGTGCAGACAGGACTCAACTCGGCAGATTACAAAAAATAATTATTTTAATAGAATTTAGAGAACAAAAATAAACAGCTGACGTGGCAGCAAAACTTACATATAGATGGAAGGCTCAGAGGGAAACTCGGGGAGGACTCAGGGAGCTCAGGGGAGACGCAGGAGAACGCAGGAGAACACAGGAGAACTCAGAGACCCAACGAATACGACCCGACGAGGAACAACACAGAACAGGAGGCTTATATACAAGGACAAGACAAGACGTGATTACAACAGCTGTGACGAGACAAAGGTGGCACCAATTAAACTGACGAGGAAACACTAGGGAAACACAGACACAAACAGAACCAGCAAAAGGTACCATCCTTACAAAAGTAATCATGCCTTTTGCACAGAAAAGTACCATAATTGCTGTTGTACAAGCCACTACTTTTGTCTCACACGTTGTACCCTATGGTTTAGATGCAGGAGCGTTTTATTTATGTATTTTTTTCATAATTTTCAAAATTTATATCTTTGTATTTTATTTTGAAGGATTTTCTGCCGTCTTCTCGATAGCTTCCTGTTGCTGACTAACATTTTCCTTTGACAGAGCTGGGTGCTTGTGGCTCCCAGCACCCCGCCCCTCAGGGGCAGGCGTTTGTGACACAGACAGAATGCCCTCAGGTAATCGGATGTACAACATCTCTAGCTCAGGGTTTCAAATACCCAACCATAACTCCACCCACTCTGTCATCATGTGACCAGAAGTCTAACCTGAATGACCAACGAGGTACTTTCGAGGACCATCCCCCAAGATAGACGTGAATTAATTTCTTCAGATTGTTTCTGTGTCATTACCGTATTTTGCACTTCATACACAGACATGTTCATTTGTTCAGCGATTATGGAAAATGCACAGAGAATTTCTAATGACACAGCTTTCATGTTAAAAGTGACTGGCTGTTGAGGAGGAAACAGCTGCATCCTGTAAACTGCATCAACGTGTGTTGATGGTTGGGCATTGCAGACGCAAAGCAGTCAAGTCTGGTACATGTTTTAAAATTCTTTCTATGTGACATCTTTCTGTGTTGGTAAATATGCATTTAAATACCGGGATCTCATTTTATTTAAAGTCACATCCAAACATGAAGCGGAGAAACATAAGCCCCCCCCCACCCCCCCTTTCCGTCATGAGAGCTCTATGGTGGGGACGTCATCAGATTTATTTTTAAAGCAGTCTAATAAGTGCAGCTTCGAGACAGGTGCGTTTTTTTTAGCCCGAGAATTATAGTACTTCTCTGCTGTTTCGTTTTTTGGTAGTAAATCACCACTGAGAGACTGACCAGATGCAAACCTGCAGTAGGTTGTGCATTTCACATGCTAACATGCTAACTCTTGGAGCTTGTTGCTAACGTTTGGTTTTAAAACAATATTACCAAAAACAGGGAAACAGGTGTTGGAACGCTCCCCTCAGCTATCAGACACAACTAATGGCGCGTTGACCCTGTCTCAACTGTCAGCGGTTCCACACCACACCAGTTAAGGGCCTGCCCACAGCTAGTACCCACCCCCACTCAGCTCAGTTTATGGGACCACCTTGTTGGTGGTTCCAAGCGAACTGTTTTGAGGTGACAATGCTGATGTAAACAGACAGCAGCTGTTGATTGGCTAGCAGAGCTACGTCTCTGGATGACCCGCCCAGCAGCACCGCTAACTACAGCTGAACCTCCACTTCTTCATTGTGTTGATGGACAGCTCCACAAGAAAAGAGTTCATTAACAGAGAGGTATCAGAGATGATGGTGCAGCAAGGCTACACCCGGACTTATGAGCAGTGCCGGGATAAGCTGAAGAAAGTGAAGTCTGAATATAGGGTGACTAAGGACCACAACAGGCAGAGTGGCTCGAACACAATGACCTGTTATGATACCGCCCACTTTGCATTGATGATCCCACTCACTGAGCAGGGAAAAAAGTCACAGTGGCAAATCACCTCCACCTGAGAAGAACCAATAAGAGGAGAGCCGGGTGGAGTCACACTTATCCATTCAATTCAGTTTATTTATATAGCGCCAAATCGCAACAAAGTTGTCTCAGGGCACTTTACAGAAACATTCACATAATAAAAGCCAATTAGTAAAGTTCTCTATTTAAGGAGGCCAGCAGACAAGTTGAATCTTGGCTTTGTTGCAGTCTCCCATCCTATACCATACCATACCATTTTATTTATAGAGCACTTAAAACAACGATAAGGCCAACCAAAGTGCTGTACAGACAGAACAACAGGTAACGCGCAAAGCAATATACAAAATGAAGTAAATCAGAAATATAGACATAAAAACGATGCAGATAATGACGTCTAACCAGTGTGGAGCATACAGGTTCAAACACAGATCATATGGTGTTGAAAGCTACCGAATAGTAGTGGGTTTTTAAATGGGATTTGAAAACCGAGAGGAAGGGGGCCTGTCTGACAAGCAGAGGTAGCTCGTTCCAAAGTCTTGGTCCTGCTACAGAGAAGGCCCTGTCCCCTCTGCGCTTAAGATGATTTCCTGGAACTGTGAGGAGCAACTGGTCCGTTGACCTCAAGGAACGTGGTGGGACATATGGTTGTAGCAGATCAGATAGATGGGGGGGCGCGAAACTGTTCAGCGATTTGTAGACATACAGAAGTATTTTGAACTGGATTCAAAGGTGAACCGGTAGCCAGTGCAGTGAGTCCAAAACTGGTGTAATGTGCACTCTTTTGCCTGTACTGGTTAAAAATTGGGCTGCTGCATTCTGGACAAGTTGTAATTGTGCAATGGAGGTCTGACTGATACCAAACAGGAGCGAATTGCAGTAATCAAGCCTAGATGTAATGAATGCATGTATTACTGTCTCCAGGTTATTTTTGGACAATATGGGCTTCAGTTTAGACAGCCGCCTCAGTTGGAAGAAACATGATTCAACAATCATGTTTACATGACTGTTAAGTTTCAGGGAAGGGTCCATTATCACTGTCAGATTAGTGACTCTTTGTTTTTCTGACAGGGTTAGAGCGGAGAGGTCGATACAGTGGTTTGTGATCGTGTCGTTGGGAGGGAACAACATGACTTCAGACTTCTTTTCATTGAAACTTAAGAAATTTAAAACCATCCAGTCCCTGATGTCAGCCAGGCCGTCGAGCAGAGGTTGAATAGAGCATGTGCCATTGTGGCTTAGTGGGAAGTAAATTTGACAGTCATCGGCGTAGAAGTGGAAGGACATGTTTTGTTTCCAGAAAATAGCACCAAGCGGCATCAGGTATAAAGAGAATAGGAGGGGACCCAGGAGGGAACCCCCCATTTAAGCTCTGCCACTGCAGAACTAAACTTCTTGATGGAAACACAAAAGGATCTGTCAGTGAGGTAGGATCTGAACCAATTGAGGGCTGACCCTGTGATGCCCACCCACTGCTCCAACCTAGCAATGAGGATCTCATGGTCAATGGTGTCAAAGGCGGCTGTGAGGTCCAACAGGACAAGCAGTACAGAATCACTGGTATCAGTGGTTAAGAAAATGTCATTAAAGACCTTCAGCAGGGCAGTTTCAGTGTTTTGGAGAGGTTTAATGCCAGATTGGAATAGCTTTAAAATGGTGTGGCCCTCCAGGAAGCACTTCAACTGGGACTCGACTATTTTCTCCAGTAGTTTTGAAACAAATGGGAGTTTGGAGACGGGCCGGAAGTTGGATATGACTGAGGGGTCATGGTTTGGTTTTTTCAGGAGAGGCTGGACAGCAGCATGTTTAAATGTTTTTGGCACCACGCCAGTGGATAAACTACTGTTTACTATGGCAAGAATGGACGGACCCAGAGTAGGGAAAACCTCCTTTAGTAGTCGAGGGGGGACCATGTCAAAGGGGGAACCAGAAGGTTTCAAGCTACACATGACCTGCTCTAGAGAAGATAGTGATGGGTTCAAAATGGTCAAATAGAGCTATAGATTGAGGTGGGATGGATGGGTCATGAGTTGGAGGGGAAATGAGAGCCCGAGTGGTCACAATTTTTTCCAAAAAGAAATGTAAGAAGTTCTCACACAGCTCAGTCGAGGCTTCCAGAGGTGATGGTTCAGTGAGGTGGAGAACAGAGTTTAGGGTAGAGAAGAGGACACATGGGTTGCGAGAGTTTGAGGTAATTATATCAGAGAAGTATTTGGATTTAGCATCTTTCACTGTTTTCTGATAACGGTGCCAACTCTCTTTAAGTATTTGAAAAGAGACCTGCAGCCTGTCTTTCCTCCACTTTCGCTCTGCCCTGCTACATTGCTGCCTAACGGCCTTGTTGACTTCACTCAGCCAAGGTTCTGCTCTGAGTTTTGATTTATTTTTTTTGTTTGTTTTTGTTTTAACAGGTGCAACATGATCCAGAGTCTTTAAGCAGACAAAGTTGAACTGGGATGTCAG